TACCTGCCACCTCCCCCACCCCTCTTGGAAGTAGCAGCGGTGTCTACAGAAGCTCCCCTCCCTACCCGCCCCCAGTGGCCTGACAGGCCCCCTAGTCACTCACCTGCCCCTTCCTCTTCCATCTTGCCTTCTCTAGGACCAGCTGCTCTTCTGCGACGACTGTGATCGTGGCTACCATATGTACTGTCTCACCCCATCCATGTCTGAGCCTCCTGAAGGTAGGTTGCTTGGAACAGTTCTCGTTAGTAACTTGGAAGACCACTCGTGCAATAAGTGAGTTCTCTTCTCGGTGATCTGTTCTTCTCAGTCAGGGAATAGATACTTTGCCTTCACTCAGAATGCTTTCCTAGCATTTCAACTTCAAGGGTTTAATGTGTGCACATTATCACCGGATACATTTAGAAACGCAGAAAATCCCCAGCCCAAGAGAAAACAAATGCTGAGCAGAAAACAGTTACCAGAAGGAGTGGTTTGTTTTCCTCCAGCTGGTCCAGGAAACTCCGTTTGTAGTTTGTCTGATGTGAGGCTTTGGTGTCAGCTCTTTGAACTTGACAGGTTTGAGTGTCCACGGCATCTCTCTTCCCTTGCCCAGTCTAGAAAACTGTTAAACCTGGAGCCTGAATGGGTCACTCTGCCCCTCCAGTAGTTTGCTTAATGATGTTCTGAGTCTGTGGAAGCTCTTCAGCCGAACCCGTGGTGGCACCAAAAAGTGGCAGCGTCTCTGAAGTCCCCCTCCAGCCAGATCTGTGTGCCCAGACTCCTCCTTTATAGAAATTCGGGAGCTGGCTCGGGAGGATGTGGGTGTCTGGTTTGCACTGTGCACAGAGGATGTGGGCCAGCATTACAGACAAGAGCGAGCGACCCACTGTGTGGTTAAGCTGACTTGTAACAGAGGTCAGACTGCTGTCACCCCCCTAGGGAAGGAGACACTAGCGAAGTGTGAGAGTCCTTTGGCAGCTGCAGGGGAGCACACAGCTGGTGTCCTCGGTCATGCCCACTTTATGTATCTACTTTGGGGAAAAGTCATGTGTTTTGTGGTTTATTTTTTTAACCGTAAAATATTAATTTACGGACGAAATTCGACGTGAACTGTACAAGGGCCTTCCTAGTGAAGTACTGTCAGATGCTGAGGTAGTGAAGAGCTGCAGGCAGCTGAGGGAGAACTCTCTAGAAGCCATGAGGTGGTCTAGGCTCTAAGTCGGGTGTCAGCAAACTGCAGCCCGTAAGCCAGATCCAGCCGCAGCTAGTGTATACAGCTCACGAGCTAAGAATGGTTTTTACATTTTTAAAGGAGATTTTAAAAAAAGAAGAACGTGGGACCAAGACTATATGTGGCTCACAAAGCCTAAAATATTTAACGCTCTGGCTGGCTGTTTACAGAGAAGCCTGCCAGCCCCTGTGGTATTGACCTTTCAGTTAGAAAGGACCTTCTTCCATTTTGAGAGTCCTAGATTGCGGAAGAGTTTATAAAAGGGGTGGATTCTCTCCCGTGTACACATCCACATATGTACAATTACATTTATGATTTTGAGGCATTAAGGGCTCATTTTCTTTCTAAAAACCAAAACAAGAATGCAACCGTAATAAATATTAATAAGCAAAGTATGAAGCAGTTATTTTTCTGACAAGGGACATTTTTTCCAGTTTTTCTGTGAAATAGATAATAGCACGTTGGGTCATCACAGTTTGCCCCTTTTCCTCTCTTCGGTCCTCAGACTCTCCTCAAACACCAGTGACGGTGGCAAGCCCGTCTCCTCTTTCTGTGGATTTCACAGAAAGCTGGCTTACTGTGGAATCAAACTTGGTTTCTCTAGAGCCTCTGTTCGTGATCTCCGCTCTGACCTTTGGGGCCATGAGAACCAAGTCTGGTTCTTCTGTAATCACAAGTCTAAAGCTGAGATGCTTGAAAAAATTCTGTCCTCCCAGGCCCTCCTAGAGATTCTGATTTAATAGGGCCAAGAGGGCCTAGGAGTCTACATTTGGAAATAGTCCTCCAGGTGATTCTTTCTTTCAGCCCCGAGAATTATTTCTCATGATACTTGAAGCCCTAGAGGTTTCTTTTAGCTCAGGGTAACTGAGTTCGCTGCGGCAGAACATCTCTCATCCTACCTGTAGCTGGTCCTGCTGCTGGAAGGAGAGGTGGGGAGTGGAGGGGCAACACGCCAGGGCCGTGTGGGCCCCGTCCTGACCCTTTCTGTTTCTCTGCAGGGAGTTGGAGCTGCCACTTGTGTCTGGACCTGTTGAAGGAGAAAGCTTCCATCTACCAGAACCAGAACTCCTCCTGATGCGCCCCCATCCCCGCTCCCCTCCCCCACCCCCGTGCATCTAGGGCTGTTTCTCTCCTCCTCTCTTGTTTTTCATGCCCACCTCTACCCTCCTCCTCTTTCATGAGTCCAGAGAACCTCGGGTGGTCGTGCCAATCTGCCTTTGGCAGCAGCAAGCTGGGGTGACAGCTCTGGCCGCCCCTGGCCCTAGGCCCTCAGGGAGAACGGAGCGGCACACTGCCCCGAGGCATGCCTGCGGCCCGGCTTCTCACTGCTCTCCGTGACGTGCATTCACTCTGCCTGCCTTGGGCCCCGGCCCTGGTGACCACAGGGTTCAAACAGTGTCCTCTGAGAAAGAGTAGGAGAGCAGCTCGCTTTTCTCTCTGCTCTGCCTCCACTCTGGTCCCCAGGGTGTTCCCGTCCCCTGGAGGCGAGCAGACCAGGGTCTCTTTGCCAAGAGCGGCTGGGAGTGAGCAGCTGAGCGAGCTGGGGCAGCGCTCGCACGGAGCTTTCCGGGCCTGTTGTGCCGCTTAGCCTCGCTGCCTCCTTCCCCTAGAATGGCTCTCTGCAGCCCTCTCTTCCTGCTACCCAGGATCCTTTGCCTGAGCCAGGATGCTCTTGGTCACCCTCCTTGTTCTGTCCTGTCCCACTCACTCCACCCCACCCCAGGGGGAGTAGCAGCTTCACCTGATTCTTCCTTGTGCTCACCTGGCTCGCTCGCAGGCGGTCTCTAACGACCGAAGCATTCCCCGCCCTTGGAATTTCCTGTCTTCTGCCTCCTCTCCTTATTCCCTTTGGTTTTGTGGGGAGAGGGGAAGAATCAGGGGGCCAGGCCAGCAGCTTGGGGGCCACAGGGAGGCGTTGGATAATGTGCCTGTTTTTTAACTCGATGAAAAAGCCTACCTCCGAAATCCCCTTTTTGTTCTTCCTGGACCTGGACATTCAGCTCCTGCCCTTAACTGAATTGGGAGCCTCTGCCTCCTGCTCTGTGTATCCTGGCTCCTGGGTCACAGGGAAGCCACACAGACATCCCTTTCTTCCCTTGCACGCTCGCTAGCGGCTGGTAAGGTCTTCACACCCTGGTTCCTCGGTTTTTTGCCTGGTGACACTGACATGAAGTAGTGGGGGGGACAGTCCATGCCAGGACACCCTGGAGTGGCCTTCCCCTTGGCTGTGGGCAGGCCCTAATTCACTGTCGCTTTGGAGTTGAGGTGTCTTTTCTTTCTTTAGTTCCTGTATTCTAAACATTAGTACAAATAAACGTTTTTACACAGAACTCCCTGCTGGATGGTTTATCTCCTGACTCCCTTTCCCGGTTAAGAAGGTCATTTCATCCTAAAACTTCTTCCCTAGGACAGTGGTTTTTATTTAATCTCAAAGTTTTTGCTGAACCCCCGTATGTAAAGCATATATAAAAAATTGAGTACTCTGTTCTTTTTTTTTTATAAATTTTTTTTTTTTTTTAACATTTATTTATTTTTGAGACAGAGAGAGAGCATGAACAGGGGAGGGTCAGAGAAAGAGGGAGACACAGAATCTGAAACAGGTTCCAGGCTCTGAGTTGTCAGCACGGAGCCCGACGTGGGGCTCGAACCCACGGACCGCAAGATCATGACCTGAGCCGAAGTCAGACGCCTAACCGACTGAGCCACCCAGGCACCCCGAGTACTCTGTTAGTTCTAACTCCTTAACGTGTATTTGTGTTACAACTATTCCTTGTTGTAAAGGACAGAGTTGTTCCAGTTAATAAAAAACTTGGGTTAGAGTCGGGTTCAGCATCCTGTTTCTGTATTTTGGTTGGTTTGAAGGAAATTCTGCAAGACTTGTATATGCACATGGTGACAAGTTTCTAAGAGTTGATCTTGGGATTTCAGATACTTTACACGGGTTCAGGAGCTTGAGTCTAAATATAAATATTTACTAAAAATAAATATTACGATGGGACATGTGAAAGCTTTGTGCATGGATAATGCACATGAGCAGAGAGACCCCTCACTCAGCCTTGCTTGCCTGGCATTCGTTCCTGTAGGTACAGTGTGCATGAGCTCGGCCCCCACTGCCACCTTCCTCGGGACTTGTCTACATGCACAAAAATGAGTTTCCTTCTTTGCAGCCAGCTTTTTTTTTTTTTTTT